CCTACATGAAAACTCTCCCCCTGACCAGGCTGGCAATGTGTGTAGATCAACCTCCTTCATGTCAGCTTTGGGAGGTTCCATCCCCAGAAGCTTCCATCCCCTGCTCCAGGGACCAGCTGCCACCCTGCATGGGAGCAAGGGCATGAGAAAGTGATTGCAAACCAAGGTAATTTTGAAGAACAACCCACAAAGGTTTAAAATTGACTTGAAAAACAACTTGGCCTGAAGAGCAGTTCCCAGTAGAAATGTCCTGATAGAGATGATTACAAGAAGGCTTTTTTTCCATCTTATAGACACGGCAATTTGCTCTTTGAAGGACATGTTCTTTCATGTCCTTGTGTTTCTTTGAAGTGCCTAAGAAACCCTGGACCTGTGTGTCCCAGTGTGCATCTGGCTTCACTGTATGTTTAGTGGGGAATTATCCTATGCTGTAATCTTCCAGAACTGTCAGTCTGTCCCTGGCCACTTGGGTATTACAACTATGTAGAACGAAAGCATTTCAGGAGTTGTGTCTGAAGAAGCACATGCATTTCTGTAGGTGAAGTTGGGAGGAACAGGGTGTCTTTGTACTGAATGGAGGCATTAATGGTCATTGAAAGAAGATTCTACACATCTGAAGTCTTCCAGCTGTAAACAAAAAATCATGTCCTGCTCTGTTGTAGTGCTCTCCATTGAAATCAACAGGTCTTGGAAAAGAGAAGGCACTGCTAGAATAAACTCCTTGCTTGTCCTTGTGAAGCCACAAATAGTGTGTCGCTGCAGGTTACTATGGAGTTATTGAATGAAGGCTGAGAACCTTGTTCTGCTGATCAGTACCTGTGTGTGTGGATGCAGCCACAGATCTCAGCAGTGGCTGTCCATGCTCTGGAGAGTCCTCTCCAAAATCTGCATTCAGCTCATGTGAAGTTTTCAAAAGGATTTGACTTCTGAAACTACTGCAAATAAGGTGTGGGTGCTCAGGACAAACAGACACTCCCTTTCTGCTCCTGCTCCTACGTTATTATAATCTCTCTCTTCACATCTGTTCCTTATATCAAACCACTAACGTATGACAACAACAACAACAAAGTATCAGGAGGCACAGCTTTAAATGGAAATAAAGAGATGTGTCTAAATCCTTTAGGCTGTTTGGGATGTCTCAAGTGATTTAGTCCAGCTGTATCTGTACATTAAAACTTATGAGGGCACTGAGGTTCATCACTTATCCAATTAAAATGTTAGAAGAGTCCCTGGCATGGGGTTGCCTCAGACCAGGCAGAGCTGTCCTGCATGATCCCTGTGGAACAGCTCCAGAGCCAGCGCGGGCTGCAGAGCCTTTCCCATCAGCAGTATGGACACAGCCACTCTGCTGGGAAGTGAGGAGGCTGAAAAGCATGGAGCAGAGCTCCCCACCAGAGGGGCAGCAGTGCCAGGACCTTATTTAATAACACAGACATGGTGAAGTGGCTGCCTGGTCCATGACAGGTCTTTCCTGTGACAATAAAGAGCTAAAACCCTGTTAGATGTTTTCCAGACAGGAGTCTGTGCTGGGCTGAATGCATGTTTGGGCTGAGAGCCTGGTCTTCATGTGGAGACCCTTCTGACAAGGCTGCTCTCGTTGTCTGAGAGTGAACTGAAGGTGGAGCTCCCAGTCCTGTCTGACACCGTCTCCATCTTTGCTCAGCTTGGGATAGACATGGTGGGGAGGGAGTCCTGCAGGTCCCACCAAGCCCCTCTTTGGATATTGCTGGAAAAAAGACGCTTTAACCCCAGCAATAAATGGGGAGGGCTCAGATCCCATCCCACCCATGCCACGTGTGTGGGTGACTGCAGGGGAAGTCACACGAGTGTCTTTATCTCAGCTTCTCCCAAGAGAAGGGTTTTTCTTTATATAGTGCAAGGAGAGGCTGTGAGAGGAGAACACTGGGTGATGGACACCCTTGTTTAGGCTTTCTGGGACAGAAGCAGGTGAGGGCTGATGCCTCGGGGCTGACTCCAGAAGGACAGTGGCACCAGGTACTGCTCTGCTAAGTGCAAGGTGACAACTATCAAAGTGTGGAGGGTTGTAGGACAATTCTGCCTCTCCCCCACCTCTGAGAAGAGGCAAAGGGGACAAATATGTGAGCCCACTTTGTTTTCATAAAGTTTGAAGCTGGAAACTTCCTTCCAAACCATGCTGTTTGCAGGCGAAATTGTGTGCCAGGGAGGTCTGTGTCACACAGGTACCAGCTTTAAAATAGGCTCTCCAGAGAATTTCTGTAGTTTGAGGGGGCTTAGACTGAATATAGCAAGTGGTGAATGGAGAGGAAACATTTTCAGGTCTTTTGCTGGGGGTCTTGCAGCTTGTCCTAAATCAGAAGGGAGCAGAAAACAAGAGCTCTATCCATCACCCCTGTGCTGAGAATAAATGGTGATAGAGTGCAAAGTGCTGTATCCCTTGGGAGATCTAAAATGACATGTTCCTGCACTTGATTCCCAGCTAGGTATTGCCCTCCAAGCCCCCCTATGGGAGAAAGCACAGCAAGGTCAGCCCAGGGTTCAGCTCCGATGTGGTGCTGGGGCTGCAGGCTGGCCTTGAGGAGGGGACAGGGGAGAGGACAGGTCAAAGTCTGGCAGCTTTTGCAGCCCAGAGTGCCCTTCCCATTTGGCGTCCCGCAACTCCATTTCCCCCTCCAGCAAACACATCCGGATCTTCTCCTGGAAAAGAAAGAACACAGACGAACAAGCCAGTGCCCTGCGCTGCTGAGAGGCAGGTAGAGACATGGCTGCAGGGTATTACTCTCTTTCTCATGGTATTTATTACCTCTGCCTCGGCCAGGGGTAACTGGATCTGCGATAGAGTCTGATCCTCCCAAGCCTTTAATTGGATACGTGAAAGGTCCAAAATGCAGCCCATGCTTCCCCCAACCAGGAGATGTGTTGTCTCCTTGTTACACCCGGGTGATTCCCAAGGAACCCAGCCTCCTTTCCAACCCCTGCTACCAGGCAGCCCCCCGGGCCAGCAGACCCTTTGGAAGGGCAGCCCTCCCAGCCGAGCGCGGTGCTGCTGGTGGCCAAATATCCCATAGCTTTCCAAACACCCACCCTTCTTCTGTCCTGCAGAGAAAAAATGCTGTAGTTAGACACAGGGCAAAAGGAGGTGGCAGAACAATGAGGGAACAGTGGCTCCCTTTCGTGGGATCGGGCTGTGGGATGGGGCCAGGACCAGGCTTGTGCAAACTGGAGCGCGAAGATCGGCGTGCGGGGAGCCCCGGCTGTGCCAGGCAGCAGCTGGGGCAGCTCTCCCGGCCTGGAAAGGCCCGTGTGGCATTTCCAAAGCTCCCACATCTCCCAGCCCTCCCTCCGCACCGTTTTCTGCCGCAAACAGCAGCAGCAGCAGCTCTCCTTCTGCAGCACCAGGGCTGGGGACAATGCTCCCCAGATAAGTGGGCCTTCTGTCCCCAGCTGCACCGGGGCCAGGCTCTCCCCAACCTGCAAGCTTTTTGCTTTCTTTTTCTCTCTCTCTCTCTCTCTCTTTTTTTTCCCCTTCTCTTGCAAAATCAATTTGCGGACAGCTCACTCATTTTTCCCCCTTGCAAACTTATTAGCTATTCAGCCCCGGCGAGCACTCGTAAGCATCCTTTGTCCCAGGGAGGGCTGGAGACCCCTTCATTAGCAGTGATTACTCTGAGCAGTTTGACAGCCTCCCAGCCCGCTTACAAGACTTTCCCATTCAGCCCTGCCCGGGGCTGCCCCGCTTCTCAAAAGAAACGGAAATATTCAAACATTTCTCCCCCCCCTCTCCCTCCCCGGCTGAATAGAGCGCTGCACCGGGGCCAGGCTTTCCCCAACCTGCAAGCTTTTTGCTTTCTTTTTCTCTCTCTCTCTCTCTTTTTTTTTTCCCTTCTCTTGCAAAATCAATTTGCGGACAGCTCACTCATTTTTCCCCCTTGCAAACTTATTAGCTATTCAGCCCCGGCGAGCACTCGTAAGCATCCTTTGTCCCAGGGAGGGCTGGAGACCCCTTCATTAGCAGTGATTACTCTGAGCAGTTTGACAGCCTCCCAGCCCGCTTACAAGACTTTCCCATTCAGCCCTGCCCGGGGCTGCCCCGCTTCTCAAAAGAAACGGAAATATTCAAACATTTCTCCCCCCCCTCTCCCTCCCCGGCTGAATAGAGGAAAAGCTGTTTCTCTTCTCCGCCCTCCCCATTCACTTCACTTTTGATACAATATTTTCCTTCTTTGTTAAACCGGAGAGAGAAGGGTCAAGGTAGACTTTTTAGCGACCCTTTTTCTGAGCGTTTTGTTTAATGTAAATACAAGCTTTCTCCCCCCCACACACCCCCTTTCTTCCCCGATTATTATTATTACTATTAAAACAGCAGAAGGCTCAGAAGGGCGGCGGTTTGGGCTGATCTTTAGGAGAAAAATGCCAGGGGAAGGGCATTCTCTTTCAGAGAGGGAAGGAAGGAGGGCAAAAGGGGGGGGAAGGAGATGGAAAAAACAAACCAGTTTGGGTTTTGTTTTTCTTTTCGTGGGTCTTACCAGCGCGGCCGGCGCAGCCCCACGGCCCCCACGGAGCTCCGGGGGTGGGGAAGCGGGTCTGGGTGATGCTCAGCTCTCCTGGTCCTCCCACCCCGAGCACGCCCGAGGAGAGGGGCTGCAAAAATGCTGGATTCGTGCCCGGAGGCATCGGCGGAGGGTCCCTCCGTAACACGCTCGGGAGATCCAGCATCCTTCACACCGCTTAAACCCTTTGTCGGAATAGATAACACTCAGGGCGCTGCCTGTTGTCCAAATTTCGGGTTTGTTTTGTCGTATTGTTGTTTGTTTGTTTGTTTGTTTGTTTGTTTCTTTTAGTTAGAAAGAAATTCAGTTATCAGAGGCTGAGCCGATGTTTTAATTCATTTCTCCAGTCTCTCCCTGTCTTTTCGAAAGCCTTCATTCCCCACAATACAGGCTAGCTACCCTGCCCGCAGAAGTCGATGGAGAAACTGCAATCCGATTCCCGGGGAAGGAAAGAAATAACGAGGTGTGGTTTCAGCCGATTTTGAGGTTGAAATTCGCTTTTGGCCCCCAGAAAACTCCTGGGTGGGACGCGCTGCCCGCCAGCCAACGCACCCAAGGCAAAACCCCCGCCTCGTCTGAGGTCTGAGCAGAAAAGCCGGGGTCCCCTTTAGGGGACAAACCAGGTGGGTTTAAGAGGCAACAAACCTGGAGCAGGGTTGGGGTGCAAGGTGGGCTCCGGTCCTCCCCGCGGGTACCCCCAAAGGGAGCTGGAACCCCCCGCTCTGTCCCCGCTCCCCGCCCCAACCATCCCCTGCTCCCGCACTCGCAAAATACAATTTGTTTTATTCTCCCGGCACACTGAATTGCACCCCGCCGAGGAAATAGTTCCTTGTAAATGGACTTAAAAAGCCAGCGAATAAATACCTGCCCCGTCCCTGTGATGGTCTGTAGGGAAGACCAAGGCACATGCACTAAGGACGAAACACAAACGTAGACATCGTTTTCCAAGCTTTAAATGGAAATTTAGGAAGAAGGGGGGGGGAAAGCCGCTGTGGAGAGGGGAACCTGCCCCCCGCTGAAAGGCAGCAAGACTGAATGAATCTATCGGGGAGCTGCAATGGTCCCTGTGTCCCCCCTCCCCGGCCGCCTCCGTGCCTTTGCGGGGGAGCTGGAGCAGGAGCTGGGGCATTTGCCAGCTCTGCCCGGCTTCTCCCGGTGCGAGGCTTCGGCTGCTAAATAAAAACGAGCCGAGCAATCAGCTTACCGGGGAGGCATCTCTTCTGAGGACAGCGAAGGCAACGCGATGAGACCCAGCAGACAAAAAAAGCACAGCTCAGGCGATTTAAAGATCAATGTCAAATTGTATAATATAAAGTCCTTCTGCTGGGGGGGAAAAAAAAAAGCTTAGCACGCTCCTCGGACCTGGCGTTTGGTTTCCTGCGGCAAAACCGCCGCAAAAAACAAAGCGAGGGAGGAGGGCGGTGGGGGACAGACCCTGGCACATCGCAAGGGCCTGGATTTGGGGTTGTGTCGCCGCCGACCCGGCCCTTCCCGGGCTGTTAATTCCCCCTGTTCTCCAAGAAATTGCCAGGTGCTGGAGGAAGCTTGGCTTCCCCGGCTGGGTTGTCCCCAGCCATTCCTCTCCCTTTCTGTTGTGTTGTTTTTTGTTGTTGTTTTGTTTTGTGCGTGTGTTTCCCTACCACCACCCCTCGCCAACCCCTTCCTTTTTCTTCTAGTCCATGCCCGAAAATTCACCGCCGATAATCCCCCCCCAAAACAACGGGAGAGGAGAACCTGCGGCTCTGCCTTCTCCTTCCCTTGCCCCGGCAGCCTCCTTCTGTGCCAGCCCCGGCCCCACTTTCCTCGGCTCCCCCCAACTCCCCCCGGCTCCCTGCCTGGCAAAGACATCACCCCCGGTCCTGGGAACCCGGTTATTTCTGTCCTTGCCGAGCTGATGCTGAAATAACCCGCGGCCTCGGAGATCTGCTCTGCGTAAACCGGCGGACTTGAGACCGACACCGTCATTTCAAAGCAGATCCGAGGGTCGTTCACCAAATATTTTATTACGGTTTTAGGCTGCTTCATACAGTTTCGTCCTGCACATGCTCTACAAGTCACCTGTGCACATAGAGAACAAGCCAAAAATAATAATAATAATTAATAATAATAATAGAAAAAAAATCTACCATAGCAATCCCTTAAATAAGTAAATAAACGTCATATATATATATATAAAACCCCTTTAAAGTAAAGCAAAACCCAACCAAAAGAACAGCGTCTTTTCAACACGGAACATCCCCGCGGGATAAGGGCAGGCATTTTGCAACTTGGCATTCGGTTATTTAGTTGTTTTTGTTGTTGTTGTTACTGTTGTGATTTATTTTTAACGTTTAGTGGGCTTTGTTTTCAGTGTTGGTTTTTTTTGTCGTTGTTTTTAGGCATCAATCCTGCGAATCCTTCGAAATAAAGGCGACAAGGATTTTCAATTCAGGTTTTTCGAGGCAGTCTGGCTGCGGGGCTGGGAGGGAAGCGCGTCCGGGCGGCTGGGGAGCTCCCCCC